TTCCAAAGTCACCCAGCTGGCTTTCATGCCTAAGGTGGGACTAGAACTCACCATTCTCCTGGGTTCTAGGCCAGCACCCCAGAACTAGAACTCACTTAGGACTAGAACTCACCGAATCCCGGTTTCTAGCCTAGCACCTTAGAACTTGAACTTACTTAGGATTAGAATTCACCGTTTCCAGGAGATTACCCCAAAGTCACCCAGCTGTTCTTCATACCTAACGTGGGACTAGAACTCACCATCTCCTGGTTTCCATTCTGGTGCCTTCACCACTAGAGCAAAACGACTGATCTGTAGCCACCTTAAAAAATGGTTTTTGGGTCTTCCTCCTGCATGATGGTTTATGGGGCTCCCTGCTCTCTGATTCAAAGAACAATTCACCTGGAGTCCAGGGAAGGGGACGAGTTGACAGGGCTGATTAAAACTCTCACCTCTTCTTAGCCAAAGCTGGCCTGGGGGGTTTCCCACTGGGGCTCTTTGGATTGGGGGTACTCTGAGCGCTGTCCTCGCGGGGGGCCCCCCTTAGGGTCTCAATCACCACTCTGGCTAAGCGGATCCGGCCCAGCGTGGCCAGCCTGTCAAGGCTCAAATGGACAGCTTGGGTTTCGCCGGGGGCCTCTGGGAAGGCCTCACCAGGACGGGGTTTAGCAGGGGAACGGCTGAAAAGAGAAACGAGAAAAACGTCAGACGCTTTTAAGCGCCACAGCTTTAGGACCACTGTTCAAGTGCTTGCAGGCCTCATCAGGGGCATGGTAGTCCTCGACTTTACAACGGTTTGTTTAGTGACCGAAATTAGAACAGCCCCGAGAAGAGTGACTTAGGACCGGTTTTCACGCTGGCGACTGAAGGATCACCCATGGCTGGGAGTAGCACCTCGACTTCAACCCAAAGGAAAGAACTGATATTTTCCATGCCTCCAGAAGTTGTGACTGGAGGCCTTTAAGAAGAGATTAGACCGCCGTTGGTTTGAAATGGTATATAGGGTGTCCAGTTTGAGAAGTTTGAGGTCCCTTCCAACTCGGATATTGTTTAATGAAAAGAAGAGCTTAGGAGTGACATGATGGCAGCCTTCCAGTATTTGAGGGGCTGCCCCAAAGAAGAGGCAGTCAAGCTATTCTCCAAAGCCCCTGAAGAGGCAGGACAAGAAGCAACGGGTGGAAACTCATCACGGAGAGAAGCAACTTGGAACTAAGGAGGAATTTCCTAAGAGTGAGGACAATGAGCCAGTGGAACTATTTGCCACCAGAAGTCATGGACGTTCCATCCCTGGAGACTTTTAAGAAGAGATTGGACAAATATCTGTCCGAAATGGCATAGGGTCTCCTGCTTGAGCAAGGGGTTGGTCTAGAAGACCTCCGAGGTCCCTTCCAACTCTGTTCTTATGTATTTTTACAAAACGTTGGGTTTTTTTTGGTACTGAAACAGGCAATTCAACCTATTTGGGCCCAGGCTTCAAAAAAGAGAAGAGAAGAGAGTCCTGGGGGAATTGTGTTCTTTACTGACCAGCAAAAGGTGTATTTTGAAAATATGCAATGCTTAGGTTAAAGGATGGGATACGAACTGACCCTTTACTGGTGCACAAGAACAACACCAGAGGCTGCCCCATGGCTGGAAGAGAGTCCAGAAGAACTATTTTACCTGGCTCTTGTCTCCAAGGCCTTCTTTTTCCGCCTGGGAGGACTCGACTCCAAAGCCTTTGGTGACCTCTGATGTTTTGGACCCTGAGGATGACTTAGTTTTCCAGCGCCGTCCTCCTCCTCCTCCTCGTCACTAAAAATGTCGCTGACGCCGCCATCTGATTTCTGAAGGAAATAATCAAGAAAAACAAACAAACATTACAAGAGAATACTTGTAGCTCGGGGCTAAGTGGTGGGGTCCTTGGGGCTCCTTAACCTTGCCCGCTTTCTCGCAGACGTTTCATGACCCAACTAGGGAACAACATCAGTGCTAGAAGGGGAGAGGGGTTTGCTTTCTGTTTTTTAAACCCCACTCCCTTCTAACACTGGTGATGTTCCTTACTTGGGTCATGAAACGTCTGCAAGGAAACAGCCAAGCCCAGGGGTTGGAGGAGGAGGAGGAGGAAGAGGAGGAAGAGAATTGCGAGGTTCTTAATACTCTCTCTGAAACTTAGTTGTTTTCTTGCAGACGTTTCACTACCCGACTAAGTAACATCATCAGTGGTAGAAGGGCGTGGGGGTGGAGGAGGAGGAGGAGGAGAAGGACAATGATTGTGGGGTTTGATGCTCTCTCTGAGCTTGATTATTTTTCTTGCAGACGTTTTATGACCCAACTATGTGACATCATCAGTGCTAGAAGGGAGAGGGGTTTGCTTTCTGCTTATAAACCCCACTCCCTTCTAGCATTGATGATGTTTGTTGGCTGGGTCATAAAACGTCTGCAAGGAAACAGCCAAGCCCAGAGAACACCAGGGACCCCCACAAAACAAACATGATTATACACTGAAACAAGGCAGGGAAAACTTATGGAGTAGAATTTCTGCCGCTCATTCCGATCCCTCGACCAGCGGTAGACGAAGGACGTTCCTTATTTTCCAGCGGGGAAAATAAGCCACAATTTACCCAACGGACTCCATCAAATCCAATGTTAACCCAAACAGGAATTAACGGAGTGTATGTGGGCCTGTCAGTTTATGTTGGTTTATATTATGCCAACTGGAAAAAGATACTGGAGCCTGAAATACGGACATCTGATACAGCTTCATCCACAAGCCCAAGTTTGGAGACCCTGGATGAGGAATTCTGGGAGTTGATGTCCACTAGTCTTACAATTGAAGTCTACAAGTCTTAAAAGTTCCCAGTTTGGAGACCCTGGATGAGGAATTCTGGGAGCTGAAGTCCACTAGTCTTACAATTGAAGTCTACAAGTCTTAAAAATTCCCAGTTTGGAGACCCTGGATGAGGAATTCTGGGAGTTGAAGTCCACTAGTCTTACAATTGAAGTCTACAAGTCTTAAAGTTCCCAGTTTGGAGACCCTGGATGAGGAATTCTGGGAGTTGAAGTCCACTAGTCTTACAGTTGAAGTCTACAAGTCTTAAAGTTCCCAGTTTGGAGACCCTGGATGAGGAATTCTGGGAGTTGAAGTCCACTAGTCTTACAGTTGAAGTCTACAAATCTTAAAGTTCCCAGTTTGGAGACCCTGGATGAGGAATTCTGGGAGCTGAAGTCCACTAGTCTTATAGTTGAAGTCCACAACTCTTAAACTGTCAAGTCTGGAGACCCCCTAATGTACCCCAATGTGTCCAAAGTAAGACTTTTCTAATCAGACAGATGACTTGTTAGTAATGGAGGGTTGTCTAAGAATATTACCACAGTAAAGGGGTTCCCCCATCCGCACACCTTTTCCACTCACCTGAGCCGTGTAGAACAAATTTTCCAAGAGACTCTGGTCGTAATGTGGGTCATTCAATTCACTGTCACACAAGTGACTCAAAGGGGAAAGTGATCCGGGAGGGGAACCGGCCCCGTCCACGAGATGATCCGGGGATAAATCAGAACTGTAGAGATAGAAAGAGGGAAAGTTCTCCACAGGCACTATATTTTTTTTATTTTTATTATTTTTATTTTTATTTTTATTATTATTATTATTATTATTGTTGTTGATGTTGTTGTTGTTGTTATGTTGTTGTTGTTGTTGTTATATTATTATATTATATTATATTATCCCCAATTTACAACCATTCATTTAGTGACTGTTTAAAGCAGGATTGTCTCCAAACTCGGCAACTTTTAAGACACGTGGACTTCAACTCCCAGGATTCCTCAGTCAGCCATGTCACTTAAACCAGTGGTCGCCAACCAGGGGGCCAGGGACCACTGGTGGTCCAAGAGAAAATGTTGGTGGTCCACAGAGAAATGTCCCCCCCAAAGCAATTAATCCAGGCTGCGCAGGAACGCAAGGCTTGCGTCGCTTGCGTTGCGAACAACACGAGGTAGTGGGGGGAGGGGGGAAAGGGCGAAGGGGGGGGGGAACTTGCCCCACTCACCCCACGCGCCTGGCCTGGCCACCGGGCTGCTTCTTTCCGCTTCTTTCTTCTTCTGCTTTTGGCTGTACCCAACAAAAGGAGCCAAAGTCTTTCTTTCTCTCCTCCAAACTCCGCCAGAAATGAGTCTTTGGGACCCTGCAAGGCCTCCTGCTCCAAGAGGCTGCGCTGGCAAAGACTCCTTTCTGGCAGAGTTTGGGGGAGAGAAAGAAAGACTTCTGCGGCTCCTGCTGCTTTCCTTGCATGAAGCCAAAAGTCTCTCTCTCTCTCTCTCTCTCTCCCCCTGAGAACGGAGCTGGAGAGGGTGTCCTGCGATCCCAAATAAAGAACGATCAGTTGGTAGGAAAACGGGGTGGGGGATTTTCCTGCAGACTTTTTTGGGGGGATTTCCCCAGGGTCTCTGGTTTGCGGGATTTAAAAGTATGTGTTTGGGGGTCCCTGAGGTCCAAAAGGTTGGCAACCCCTGACTTAAACGACTGCCTCACTTAGCAACAGAAATTTTGGGCTCAATTGTGGTTGTAAGTTGAGACCTACCCCGGAAATATTAAATTTTGGAAAATTCCTGAGGCAATTCCCCCCCCCCCCAAAAGGGGAGCCAGACCAATATATATATATCTCACCCGCCCAGCAGAAGCTCGACTGCTTTCTTTTCAGCATCCAAATCGAATTCTGAACATTCACGCCATGGCTCAAAAGAATCTTCACACGTAAGGCCAGAGTTCTTCAGAGTTCTGGATAGAATATTAGAATACAGAAAAGAAAGGAAGATGTGAGGGATCAAAAGCGTTATCTGGAGGGAGAATGCGATCCCCTAAAATGAGGTTAAGAACAATAATTCACCCAATAGGTTTAACAGGATTTTTTTCAGTGTAGTGGCACTATCAATATCTGTCTAGGAAAAAGGGCAACAGAAGACAAAGGGGCTTTTACATAGGGAATGGGATATAAATGAAAGTCTTAATTATTTAGACTGTTTTAAGGTATCGTTTATAATTTTCTAGATTTGGGGAACCCAAAGGTGCTTTTTTCAAGAGGCAATTGGACTTTTTTGTTTTTTTCTTTTGAAGACATTTTACTTCTCCTCCAAGAAGCTTCTTCAGCTCTGACTCGGATGATGGGGAAAGGAAGGATGGATATTCCTTGCAAACAGAACTGGTCATTTGCATCCTTGTTAGAGGGTCGTTGAGGCCACTTGGAGGTTTATCTGTGTCCTCAGGATCACCTGAGTGGTGCAAAGGGTTCCTGTAGTCTGCAATATTTTACTCTGGAAATCCGTTCCTGCTCCCACACCGTTCAAAGGGGGTTTATCCCAAATTGTACAGCTAAAAGTGTGCAGAGGTTCTCGATCCTCCAGGTCATGGTTGTCCCAAAAGTGCTTTTTTTCCAAGAGGCAACTGGACTTCCTTGTTCTTCTTTAAAGACATTTTGTTTCTCACCCAAGAAGCTTCTTCATCTCTGACTGGATGGTGGGGAAGGGAAGGATTGATATTCCTTGCAGACGGCTGGTCATTTGCATCCTTTGAGAAAGTCATTGAGGCCACTTGGAGGTTTTATCTGTGTCCTCGATGTCACCTAAGTGGTGCAAATAGGCGTGGAGCCTTCCTGGAACTGCTGAAAGGACTGTGCTGTAGACTGGAGATAGGTGATGTGATATCTCTCCCCCTCTGTTGAGGGAGGGCTGCTCAATTTTGACATAGATGGCCTCTTGGACCCCTCTTCTTTCAAACCGTGGGGGCGGGGGGATATGACAGCCTGCTCTCAACAGAGGGGGGGGGATATGACATCATCTATCTCCCGTTTTACAACAGTCCTTTCCGCAGTTCCAAGAAGGCTCCATATCCATTTGCACCACTCAGGTGACCCTGAGAGGACCCAGACAAACCTCCAGGTGGCCTCAACGACCCTCTAAAAAGGATGCAAATGACCAGTTCTGTCTGCAAGGAGTATCAATCCATCCATCCTTCACCATCCAGTCGGAGCTGAAGAAGCTTCTGGGATGAGAAGCGAAATGTCTTCAAAAGAAAAAGCAGAAAGTCCAAGTGCCTCTTGAAAAAAAAAAAAAGCACCTTTGGGACAACCTGTTGCGGGTCTGAGGTTTGAGCCTGCTTTGTTAGAGGACGAAGACTCGGACAATGGGGAAGAGGAGGATTTGGAAATGCCTTCTTCTCCAGGACCTTCCTCTTCGGCAATGCCTTCCTCCCTGATTGTGCCTCAGGTGTCGGCAGATAACCGGGAGGGAAGACCTGAAGCTAATCAAGAAAAGGAGGAGGGCGTATCAGAGTCTCTGACTTAGAATCAAGCAGAGGAATGCTGGCTTGATGCGAGGCAACGTCGCAGGCAAAAGTGCGAGCTGCGACGCAGAAAGAAGGGACGAATCAGAGACTGAGCTGAGGGACTGACACGCCCCACAGGGAATAAAAGTGGGCGTGTTCGCTCTGGGGACTTGTTCGGGACAACGTGTGACTTAGTGAGAGGAGCTCCGGATTATTCTGTGTGATTTATATTCCTGCTTTCTTGTCGGACTTGGCAGACAGCATGTGAGGGACTGCCAAGAATTTTATCGGCTCAAGGAGTTAACTCTATAATTACTGGATTTGCTTGCTTGTTTGCATTCAGTTGGAAATTTGGACTTCTCACCTCTTTTGTACAGGTGAGACATAACACAACCAATCAGCTGGAGGGCTGAGAATCTCATCGACATTCAGATTTGAGGAAGGGACACGGCAACTTTCGGTAAGTCCATGCAAATATGCCAAGCGGTCAAATTCTAATCACGTGATCCTGGGGAATCTTGTAATGGTTGCTAAGTGTGAAAACTGGTCAAAAGACACTTCTTCCGATGCTTTGTTGTAAATGAATGTCTCTAAGTTGAGGACTACCGATAGCAGAAATTGACAGATTGATTTTGCCTTGACTTCAGGTCTCTCTGAAAATAACTCGGTCTTCAACACCAATAAGACCAAAAGGAGCTGATAGTGGACTATATAGAAGGAACAGATCAGACGTCCAGCCTTTGCTTATCAAGGGAGACCGAGGGGAGCAAATGGCCAGTTTTAAGTTTCTGGGTGTTACCTTAAAAGAGGACCTGACCTGGGGGTGCTCACATTGCAGCCTTGGTCAAAAGGGCCCAGCAGAGATTAGACTACCTGAGATTTCTCAAAAAACAACTGGATTAAAAAACTGCTGGTGACCTTCTACCGCTGCCCCATAGGGAGTATCTTAGCTTACTGCACATCTGTGTGGGGTTTGCCAGTTACACAGGGGCAGATAGGACAGCGGTCCAGAGGGTGAACATCATTGCCCAAAAGATCATTGGTTGCCCTCTCCCCTCTTTGGAAGAGCTTTAAGAAAGTTCAAAACATTTTCAAAGATCCATCTCATCCTGGGAACCCCCTTTTTTTTTTAACTATTACCACCTGGCAGACAGTACAGGACAATAATAAAAACAAGGACAAACAGGCTGAAAAACAGCTTCTATCCCAGGGCAAGCAACTCTATTGCAATTCTACTGTAGAGTGCAATATTCATCCAATAGCAGGGGTTTTCCATTCAATGTGTGGAGTGTGAAGGATGTGTGTTTGTGTTTATTTTCATGGTTATGATGTGCTCTAAAGACGGTGTTTGATTTCGTTGTACGAGGTGCAAGGACAATAAAGTAAAGTAAAGTAAACGGTCACCATTTTTAAACTCTGGAGACGCACCGCATCCCATTTTCTTGGAGACTCAAACCTCCCCTCTTGCCACTCACTTTCCAGCTTGTCGGGAGAGGTCCGGCTTTGCAGGAAGTTGAGCCTCATAGCGTTCGATGACGGGATCCGGATTAGATGTCATGACGGACACAGCCATGGCGTTTCGCAGCCGGTTCCCTCGATCCAAAAGGTCTCGAAAGAAGAGAAAGGAAATCCAGATGAAAAAAAAACAACACAAAGGAACCATCCACTCTGCCCGACTGCAGCCCTCTTTTTAGGATCAAAGGCAATATGTCCTTTAAAAAAAAAATACTGATAGTCCTCGACTTATGACCACAATTGAGCCCAACGTTTCTGCTGCTAAGCAAGACGGTTGTTAAGTGAGTTTTACCCCGCTTTACTGCCTTTCTTGCCATAGTTGTTAAGTGAATCGCTTCAGTTGTTAAGTGAGCAGCACGGTCATTAAGCAAATCTGTCACCTTCAAGAAGTGAGGGGAGCCAAATGTCAACTCATAAAATATTTCTATGGTCTTTTAGAGTTGCCATTAAAAAGGGAGGGGGGGGGGAAAGGGGGTTTGAAAGACCAGAGCGGCAGCTCGGAAATGGAAAGTACATTCCATAAACAGTTTTTCAAAGATAGTAACTAGGGGACTGAAGTGTCTGCCGGGCAAATATCCAACTGGAGAGCATGATTGAGGACTTGTAGCTAGGGAGGTGTCCCATTGGAGAATATGAATTACGATACACTCAGAAAGATGGGAGGGAAAACCAGGGTCAAGGGTGAAAATGAATTATGTATCTTAGAGTTGGCTCCACCCAGGCAGTGCCGGACATGTTAACTCCCAATAAATCTGTTCAGAGTTTTGGAAGGTTGGCTTGAGACTCAGGATTTAATTGGGGGGGGGGGGTAACTGCCGGAATCCCCCCCTCCCTTTCTGTTGGCAACTCTAAAAAGACCATAGAAATATTTTATGAGTTGACTTTGCTTGTCAGGAACTCACAAAAGGGGACTGGCAAGACCTCGGGATGCTGCAACCATCGTAAGTACGTGCCAGTTTCCAAAATGTCTGAATTTTGATCACGTGACCATGCTGGGGAATGCTGAAAGGGTTGTAAGTCTGAGAAACGGTCATAGTCAGTTCTTAAGTTCGAATGGTCACTAAATGAATGGTTGTAAGTCAAGGACTACCTGCACAGCAGTGGTCCGCACCAGCTTACCTGCAAGGAGATCTTGCGCGGCTGGGCTGTTGCAAGAAAGGACACGGACAGGCCTCGTGCTTTCCTTGCCTGGCTTGATTTGTGCATCTGGATCAGAGTTGCTCGGAAACATTTTTGGTGGCCTGGGATCCTTGGCGCTCAGGATGTAATCCAGGTGTGGGTGAGACCCACCAATACTTCTTTGGATATTCTCCGAGTTCTCCTGGAAATATAAGTGATCTTTCCCCCTGAAATGGGGGAAAAAACAAGGGCTACCAACCTGCCTTCCATGGACGACCTGGATACTGCAGGAGTCAAAAAGGGGGCTGTGAAAATATCTACAGACCCCTCACATCCCGGACATAAACTGTTTCAACTCCTTCCCTCAAAACGACGCTTTAGAGCCCTGCACACCAGAACAACTAGACACAAGGGGAGTTTTTTCCCCCGAACGCCATCACTCTGCTAAAGACATAATTCCCTCAACACTGTCCAACTATTTACAAAGTCTGCACTACTATTACTGTTAATCTTCTCATCACTCCTTATCGCCCATCCCACTTGTGACTGTATGACTGTAACTTTGTTGTTTGTATCCTTATGATTTATGTTGACTGTTTCCTAATATAATTTGATTGCTTATTGTACCCTATGATTATTATTAAGTGTTGTACCTGATGATTCTTGACTTTTGATGAATGTATCTTTTCTTTTATGTACACTGAGAGAATTTGCACCAAGACAAATTCCTTGTGTGTCCAATCACACTTGGCCAATAAAGAATTCTCTTCTCTCCTATTCTCTTCCCTTCCCTTCTCTTCCCTTCTATTCTATTCTATTCTATTCTATTCTATTCTATTCTATTCTATTCTATTCTATTCTATTCTATTCTATCCTGTCCTATCATATTGACCCTGAGGACACAGGTAAACCTCCAAGTGGCCTCAACGACCTTCTAAAAAGATGCAAATGACCAGCTGTCCACAAGGAGTATAAATCCTTCCATCCTTCACCATCCAGTCAGAGCTGAAGAAGCTTCTTGGATGAGAAGCGAAATGTCTTCAAAAGAAAACCGGAAAGTCCAGTTGCCTCTTGAAAAAGCACCTTTGGGACAACCAGGACCTGGAGGACTGAGAATCTCTACAGACTTTTAGATATATAATTTTGGATGAACACCCTTTGAATGGTGTGGGAATAGGAACGGATTTCCAGAGGAAAAATTTGCAGGAACCAGGAGCATACTAAGGTGACCCTGAGGACACAGATAAACCTCCAAGTGGCTTCAACAACCCTCTAAAAAGAATGCAAATGACCAGCTGTCCGCAAGGAATATAAATCCTTCCCTTCCTCACCATCCAGGAAGAGCTTAGAGGAGAAGCAAAATGTCTTCAAAGAAAAACCAGGCGCCTCTTGAAAAAGCACCTTTGGGAGTGAGATGTCTAGTTTTATACGATTCAGCACCTCTCTGGCTGTCCATGGTATAGGCAATAGCCCTTAGACTTATATACCGCTTCCCAGTGCTTTCCCGCCTCTCTCTCTAAGCGGTTTACAGAGTCAGCCTCTTGTCCCCCCCAACAATCTGGGTCCTCATTTTACCCACCTCGAGTCAACCTTGAGCTGGTCGGGATCAAACCGCAGGCAGTGGGCAGAATTAGCCTGCAATGCTGCACTCTAACCACTGTGCCACCAGGAAGGAGAATGAGAAAGGGAATAAGAGAAGGAGCAAGGAAAGAAGGAAGGGATGGAGGGAAGGAGGAATAGCAGTAGCACTTATATACTGCTTCATAGTGCTTTCCAGCCCTCTCTAAGCCGTTTACGGAGTCAGCCACCATGGCAGGGAGGGAGGGAAGGAAGGAAGGAAGGGCAATAGCCCTTAGACTTATATACCGCTCAACAGCACTTTTATAGTCCTCTCTAAGCAGTTTACAGAGTCAGCCTATTTGCCCCCAACAATCTCCAAGCAAATTTTATTAATTTCAAAGACAAACAAATCATCATCAACCATTACATATTTGAACCTTTTTCCATTATAAATTTTACAAGTCAGATAAAACCTTATTTTATACAATACAATTCTATTTTAAGCCATTTCCATATGAGCATAAAAATACCTCTTATCCAATTTCTCTTTACTTCTCTTTACTCTTATTCAATTTCACTATTATTATTTCATCTATTTCTTTCTGACTTAGTTACCATTATTCTCATTCTGTATTTCTACAAGGTTTTATTAATACTCTCAAAAACATAAACACACAACAAACAAACATATAAAAAATCTTTTAGGAAAGTAATTTGGCCCCAGGTACCTCTCTTTATATGGACTTCAATTATATTCATGCTCATCTTACATATCATTACCTATTTTGTTTACCATACTATATCTTCTATATAAACTTCTCCACACATTTCACTCTTCATAATTCTATCTTATTTAATCCATCTTAATTTAAATCCTTATATTTGTATCTTTTGCCCATTCTTTATTATCCCTCTATCTCATTCCTTATAAAAAAAAAAAAAAGAATTTCTCCTGAAATCACTAATCAGAGTATGATGCCTTTCTATCCTCCCCCTAAATTAATTAGATTAACATTTAAAATAACACCTAATACCCACTCTGATTCTGCTTGGTACATTCTATCTACTAATTTTTTTCTTTTAATAACAATAAAAACAGAGTAATAAATCCAAAATGATTAAATACATAGTTAAATAATAAATCTAAATATTAAATCTTATAACATTCCCATTGCCTTTCCCTTTAATATTTTATTACATTTTAAAATCAATCATTGTTAAACATTTCAACATTTTAATTTCTTATTAACTCTTAAGCCATTCTAATTTTCTATTTCTAATACAGATGTTACAATACCATCTTATGTACCTTGCAAAATCTTTTTTAAGGAAATTGTACTTTACACTTTGTCCCTAAAAAAAATTCCTCTTTTCCCATCTAATTTCAAAACTTTGTGGCTTTTCTCCGCTTTTCCCCTTTCCTTCTTCCCCCACCAAATCTTCCTACCCCCCCTTCTTCTAGCCTCTGCCTTGCTGGCATCCCTTCTCTGTTGTGTTCCCTTTTTCTTTTGTTTACTATCATTATATTTATTTTGCATCTTATTTTTCTCTTTCTTAAATGTTTTTTTTAGATCTTAAGTCCTTCATTTTCCTCGCTTTCATCCTTCCTTCTTTCTTAGTTAAATTTTGGAATTCATTAAAGATGGCGTCTTCATCTTCTTCTTGTTGTTGTTCTTCTGCCTCCATCTGTTGTATTGTTTGTTGATAGTTAACCAGCGCCATTTCTAAAAATAGGAAGGCTTTTTCCATACCATCTTTACCGGCTGCTTTTGTTTGCTCATATTCTTCCCTCAGTTCCTCAAAAGAAAAAGCCATTATAGATCTTTTCTTTTCTTTTCTTTTTTCCCTCTTTCTTCTTACACCAACCAAGATATTTCAAAAAAAAGTAAAACAATCCCAAAATCCACAATCCTCAATCAATCCAAGCCAAGACAAAATTCTCCCTTTCTCTTCCAGGGGTAGTATCAGACAAAGGAAAAAAGAAAGTCCAAATCTGTATTTTGAAGCCTTATTGGAGTTCTATTTCTGTCTTTAAATCCTTAAGGCATCTCCTCCAACAAAATCAAACCAGATGAATATATTTTTTGTCCTCTCCCTTCCGACTTATCCCATAAAGCTAATTTTACCTGAAAAAAACAGGTTTCTCAATGTCCACTTATTAATTCTGTCGGGAAGGAGAGTAAACTTTCCTTTCAGCACCACCAAACTGCCGCTTTTTTCCTCTTCTAGAAGGTATCATTCAGAAAGTCATAATTTTCAGGAGTTTTGTTAAATATGTCTTAGAGTCCTGGGAACCAAGAAAAACTTTCTCTTTTCAAAAACTTTCTCCACTTCCTCCTGCGCATTCTTACCCGGCTGCCAGCTTCTTTGTGGTGGCCATTGCGGACCGCCGCTGCACCGTCTTGGGAAAAGGGGGTTCTGCTGGCCGGGGAGGGGGTCTGCAAAACCCCCAAACCCCTCTCCGGATCCCCCCTATCTTCAGCTGCCCCTGCAGGGCAGCCTAGCTCCGGACCCGTCCGGATCGGAGCACCAAAAGCGGCTAGCGCAGCAGGGATCGCGCAGCTTCGCGAATCCCTGCCGCTCGCGAAGCCGACAAACCGGAAGTCCACCCCCAACAATCTGAGTTCTTGTTTTACCGACCTCAGAAGGATGGAAGGCTGAGTTGACCCGGAGCTGGTCAGGATTGAACTGCTGGCAGTGGGCAGAATTAGCCTGCAATGCTGCATTCTAACTGCGGTGCTCCTTCCTTCTTTCTTTTTCTTTCTTTCTTTCTTTCTTTCTTTCTTTCTTTCTTTCTTTCTTTCTCTTTCTTTCTTTCTTTCCTTCCTTCCTTCCTTCCTTCCTTCCTTCCTTCCTTCCTTCCTTCCTTCCTTCCTTCCTTCCTCCTTTCCTTTCCTTTCCTTTCCTTCCCTCCTTCCCCTTCTCTCCCTCCCTCCATTCCCAGTAGCATTACCACTTCGACTTATATACCGCTTCCCAGTGCTTTCCCGCCTCTCTCTAAGCGGTTTACACAGTCAGCCTCTTGTCCCAACAATCGGGGTCCTCGTTTTTACCGACCTCGGAAGGACGGAAGGCTGAGTCGACCTGGAGCCTGGGGAGATTCGAACTGCCAAATTGCAGGCAGGCAGAAGTCGCCCACAGTACCGCATTCCAACCACAGCGCCACCACGGCTAAATAATTTACTAACAGCAATGTAACGTAACAACACAACATAAACTATAACACAACACACATATATACACCTATGTCCGCATTAAAAGCATAGCTATCCTATGAAGCAAGCAAATTCTTTTCCCAAAGATGGCAAATAAGACATTTTTGAGATATTGGGCCGGTTTTTTTTTGTTTTAAATCCCAGTAGACAGAAATAAAAATTAAAAACAAACCCACACACCTTGGAGTACTCGCTCTGCTGCTGCCCAGGGATTCTCTTCCGTGGACGTGGGTGCCAGATGGTCTGTGGAGCTGAGACGGAGTGAGGGAGGGGCTCAAATCTGCAGCCTCTTTGTTCAGGTTTGCGTTGTGGACGGTGTGGTTGCATTCGTACTCCTCGGCGAGAGGTTCCAGGAACAGGGATACCTGCAAGGTGTCATTTTAAGCAGGCCTGTCAGAACACGCCCCTGTTCCCACATACGGATCTGACACAGGTCCTCATCCACTTACGGCCACAATTGAGCCCAAAATTGTCGTTGCTAAGTGAGAAAGGTGTTAAGTGAGTCTTGCCCCATTTTAGGACCTTTCCTGCTGAGCGTTGTTAACTTGAATCGCTGCCATTATTAAAATTAGTAATACGGTTGATAAGTAAATCTGGCTTCCCCCCTCCCCACTTGAGTTTGCTTGTCAGGAGGTCACAAAAAGGGGATCGCATGACCTCCAGGGACACTGTGACCGTCATTCATGTGAGTCAGTTGTCAAGCATCGAAACGTTGCAAAGCAAAAGGGAATAGAAGGGGAACTTACCAAATTTGCAAATGATACTAAGCTGGCAGGAATAGCCAACACCCAAGAAGATAGGCTCAAGATACAAACTAGACTAGAACACTGGGCCCTATCTAACAAAAGGAAATTCAGTGTAGAGAAAAGTAAAGTCCTACACTTAGGCAAGAAAAACCAAAAGGACACGTATAAATTGGGTGAAACCAGGCTCAATAGCAGAAACTGTGAGAGGGATCTTGGAGTCTTAGTGGACAACCAGCTAAATAGGAGCCAGCCGTGTGCAGCAGCAGCCAAAAAAGCTAATGCAATCCTAAGTTGCATTCACAGAGGGATACATTCAAGATCAAGGGAGGGACTAATACCACTCTGTAAAGCCTTAGTAAGACCACACCTAGAGTACTGCATCCAGTTTTAGTCACCACATTATTAAAAAAAGATGTTGGGACTCTAGAGTGCTGAGAAGATCAACCAGGATGATTAGGGGACTGGAGACTAAAACATATGAAGAACAGTTGCAGGAACTGGTCATGGCAAGTCAGGGGACACAGGATAGCAGTCTCCCAATATCTGAAGGACTGCCCCAGAGAGGAGGGGGTCAACTATTTTCCAAAGCCCCTGAAGGCCAGACAAGGAATAATGGATGGAAACTGATCAACCTGGAAATAAGGAGAAACTTTCTGACAGTGAGAACAACCAACCCATGGACAGAAGTTGCCTTCAGAAGTTTCAGAAGGCTTTCAAGAAGAGACTGGACTGTCATCTGTCAGAAACGGTATAGGGTCTCCTGCTTGGGCGGGGGGTTGGACTAGATCTCCAAGGTCCCTTTCAACTCTATTCTGATTGATTCAACCAAGAAATAAGGAGGAATTTTCTGACAGAACAACCAACCCATGGACAGAAGTTGCCTTCAGACGTTGTGGGAGCTTCATCCCTGGAGGCTTTCAAGAAGAGACTGGACTGCCATCTGTCAAAAATGGTATAGGGTCTCCTGCTTGGGCAGGGGGTTGGACTAGATGACCTACAAGGTCCCTTCCAACTCTGATTATCTGTTATCTGTTAAAACGTTCATGAAGTCAGTTTTGCCCCATTTCACGAACTTTCTTGCCCCCGTTGCTAAGCGAATCACTGCGATTATTAAGTGAGCAAAACGGTTGGGAAGAGAATGTAGAATTGGCTCATCTGAAGGTTGCCAAAGGGGACCACGTGATCCAGGGACACGGCGAAAGTCATAAATAGGAGTCAGATGCCAATCGCCTGGATTTTGATCACAAAAGGTGATCGCGAAAGTTGACCCTGGGACACTCCAACCATCGTAAATAGGAATCAAATATAATTGATATTATTGCTGGAATAATTTGCTAAACGTAAATAGATGAATATTATATTGTTTGTACTAAAATGAGATCAGAAAGAGACTTTGTTTTAAACATGCTAGTGGCACAGCTAAGAATTAAAAAGGGGATAGATAAGAGAAGATATAAATTAATATGACCAGTAATATATATTTACAATAAAAGAAGTGATGTTAAGAATATAGAGATTGACATAAAAACAACATAGGGGAATTTGGAATAATCAGGATGGACAATCTGTATTTATAGTAATATTAATTATGAAGTTAACAGTTTTAATATGAAACTCTTGTCATATTTGTTCTAAAATGTAAATACCCTGTAAACACACGGTATGTTTGTAGAAGATAGAAAATTAAAAAATGTATGGCAAAATAAATAATTAAACCATGAATCCATTTCAAGTGTCCAAATTTTGGCCATGGAGATGCTGCAACGGTCCTAAGTGTGAAAAATGGTCCCAAGTCCCCTTTTTTCAGTGCTGTTGTAACTTTGAACGGTCACTAAGCAAACTTCTGTAAATCCAGGACTACCTGTCAATCCTCCCCGGCCCCCAAAAGATTGCTTGAGAACATCCAGACCATTACTGAGAGCACTGCGTGGGTTTCAAACTGATCCCCGTTTACGATACCTGGAGTGGAGGATGGGCCACGGGGGGGTGGGGGGGTGGGGGGGGGGTGAATATTACTCAAGGAAAAAAGTTGTGCAATACCTGCAGCTCTCCCATCTTTTCAGAGGTCGGCGAAACGATGGGGAAAACCCCACGGATTGGGTGGCTGGGAGAGAGCAGGGCCAGCCCCTTGATTTGAACCCGTCCAATGGGAAGGTGGTCGGACTTGGTCATCACTTCCAGGATAAGGGCCCCCATGTCTGCAGGAAGCAAGCAAAGAAACACAGGGAGAAAAGATGAGGACCAGCTGGGGAAACAACAGGTCAGGGTGTTAATTCTACTTCAAAACCGTGGGGGGTGAAAAACCCAAATCTTCCGTTATTTAAGGCTCCCTAAATGCAAACGTTGTTTCCCCACTTCCATCCAACCATGATGGAGCAACATAGGGAAAGAAGAGACTGTCTGTAGCTCAGGGTCGAACTGTGGGGTTCTTTGGGCTTTCTGAACGGTTTTCTTGCAGACGCTTCGTTACCCAACTAGGTAACAGCATCAGTGGTATAGGGGAGGGGGGGTGGGGGGGGGGGGGGGAGGAGGAGGACTGAGGGGTCCATGGTGCTCTCTGAGCTTGGTGGTTTTCTTGCAGACGTCTCATGACCCAACCAGGGAACATCATCAGTGCTAGAAGGAAGTGGGGTTTACAGAGAGGAGGAGGAGGAGGAGGAGAACTGTGGGGTCCTTGCTGCTCTCAGAGTTTGATGGTTTTCTTGCAGATGTTTAATGGCCCAATCAGCCATTAATTTACCAAACTAGGTGACATTATCATTGCTAGAAGGAAGTGGAGTTTGTGAAGGGAAGGAGAAGGAAGAGGAGGAGGAAGAGGAGGAGAACTGTGGGGTCCTTGTTGCTCTCAGAGCTTGCTGGTTTTCTTGCAGACATTTCATAACCCAGCTAGTGCCAGAAGACGACGGGATTTGCTCTCAATTTATATTCTAGTCTAGAATATAAATTGGGGGCAAACCTCACACCCTTCTAGCACTGATGATGTCACCTAGTTTGGTAATCAAACATCTGCAAGAAAACCACCATCATGCTCAGAGAACAACAAAGACCCCCATAAGCGAATATAACTGTTCTCAACTGTATTTAATCATTTCTATTTTTTTCACCCTAAAAAGAGCAATTTTGTGGGCCATTTCCAGAGGAGGCCTCTGTGGGCTGACCACATCCAGGGCACATCCATTCAACCTGTTTAATTGCCAAGAAACAGCCATACCTGTCAGGTAGGAGGCAAATTGTTTGGGCCCACATCGCACCGGGTAGCAGGTGGTGGTGTTCAGAATTTTCTGCTCTGGCTGGGAAGCATCCTGGGGAACGAAGATGGTGCCGTTGCTAGTTTCTCCCCACCATCTCAGCCGGACAAGGGACGATGCTGGCGGTTTGGCGACCATCCATACAATTTTGCTAACGGTCAGTTTGAGGAAGCAGCGGAGTTGTCCTTCCACAAGAGGTGGTAAACTGGTAGAAGGGGAAACATCGCTGAGAGCTGCAGAGCAACAAGAGAGCACCCACGAAATTAGATTTAGGGTTAAACTGCCCAAGGAGCTGCTAATCTAGTTCTACAGAGGAATGATTGAGTCTGTCATCTGCAGCTCTATCACTGTCTGGTTTGGTTCTGCAATCCAACAGGACAGACACAGACTCCAGAGAGGAATTAGGACTGCAGAAAAAAACAATGGCTGCCAACCTGCCTTCCATCAAGGACCTGCATCCTGCACGAGTCAAAAAGAGGCTGTGAAAATATCTACAGACCCCTCACATCCCAGACATAAAGTGTTTCAGCTCCCACCCTCGAAACGACGCTATAGAGCCCTGCACACCAGAACAACTAGACACAGTTTTTTCCCCAACGCCATCACTCTGCTAAACAACTCGTTCCCTCAACACTGTCCAACAATTTACAAAGTCTGCACTACTATCACTATTAATCTTCTCATCCCTCCTTATCACCCATCGCCTCCCACTTGTGACTGTAACTTTGTCGCTTGTATCCTTACGATTTTTATTTACTGTTTCCTAATATGATTTGATTGCTTATTGCACCCTATGACTATTATTAAGTGTTGTACCTTATGATTCTTAACTCTTGACGAATGTATCTTTTCTTTTATTATATACACTGAGAGCCTTTGCACCAAAGACAAATTCCTTGTGTGTCCAACCACACTTGGCCAATAAAGATTCTATTCTATTCTATTCTATTCTATTCTATTCTGTTCTTTTCTGTTCTGTTCTATTCTATTCTATTCTATTCTATTCTATTCTTCATTCCATTATTCTATTCTATTCTATTCTCTATCCTATTCTATTTTCTATTCCATTCCATTCCGTTTTCTATTCTATTTTCTATTCTATTCTATTCTTATTGTACCCTGTGACTATTATTAGGTGTTGTACTGATGATTCTTGACTCTTGACAAATGTATCTTTTATGTACACTGAGAGCATTTGCACCAAGACAAATTGCTTGTGAGTCCAATCACACTTGGCCAATAAAGATTCTATTTCTTAAATGTATATGCTGCCTACCTCAATGTTACAGCAACTGGGTAGCTTACAGCGCAATAAAAAGTAAAAATAATTTAAATAAAGGGACAGGTGGTCCTTCACTTACAACTGCTTGTTTAGTGACCATTCAAAGTTAGAGGCATAGAAAAAAAGGGACTTATAACCATTTTTCGCATTGAGGACCGTTGCAGCATCCCCCACAGTAGAAATCTGGACGCTTCTCAACGGATTCATATTTATAACTGTTGCAGTGTCCCCAGGTTGTGTGATTCCTCTTTTGCCACTTTCTGACCAGCAAACGCACTGGGGAAGCCAGATGCACTTAACAGCTGGGATACTAGCTTAACAGCTGTGGGAATTCACTTAATAACTGTGGCAAGAGAAGTCGTAAAATGGGGCAAAACTCACTTAACAACTGTTACTAACTTAACAACTGCAGGGATTCACTAGGAAGAGAGATGGTGAAATGGGGCAAAACACACTGAACCAACGTCTCCCTTAGCAGTGGAAATCTGGGGCTCAATTGTGGTCATAAGTCAAGGACCCTCTGCAGTATAGAATACTTAAAATTAAAAAGGTGAAGTAATAAATTATTAAAGATTCAACATTAAATGAGCCAAGGATCTGATTCATTGAGAAGTAGGTTGTATGTTTTGGGTACTTACAAGGACCCACAAAATAGGAAATGGGTTTCCTACCACTTTCCTCCAGGCCCAAGTCTCCCTCCCATTGTCCTGCCCTCTGGGATCGCCTGGTGGTCCCCCATCCATCTCTCCAGCCGAGAAACCATTTGCATCAGCGGGAGAAGAAAGGCAGAGTTTCTCCTCCCACATCTTCCGCCTTCATCGACAGGGGGGTCCCCTAGGCTCACTTTGTCTCCTCGAACTCAGAACCAGTTCTGGAACTTCTCCTGGTATCTAGCCTGCTGCCGTTTCCCATTACATCAATTGAGTCTCCTTCATAGTACATTAAAAAAAAAAAACCGTTTTCCACAAATGGTTTCCCACCACCTTCCTCTAGGGTCTCCCTCCCATTCTCCTGCCCTCTGGGATCTCCTGGTGGTCCCCCATCCATCTCTTCAACTGAGAAACCGTTTGCCGCAACAGCAGGAGAGACAAAGCAACGCCTCTGCTCCCATGTCTTCTGCCTTCCTTGACAGCAGGTTCCCCCAGCTCATTTTGTCCCCAAGGCAGAACTCGAACCCAGAACCAGTCCTGGAAGTTCTGGTATCTAGCCTGCCGCCGTTCCCCATTACATCAAGGTGGCTCTCCTACACAGTACATAAAAAACATGCCATTTTCCACACGTGGTTTCCTACCATCTTCCTCTGTAGACTCCCTCCCATTCTCCTCCCCTCTGGGATTTCCTGGTGGTCCCCCATCTATTTCTTCATCCCAGAAATGCTGCCATTCCCCATTACATCAAGGAGGCTCTCCTTCGTAGCATTAAAAACATGGCATTTTTCCACAAGTGGTTTCCCACCACCTTCCTCTCTAGGATTTCCTGGTGGTCCCCCGTCCATCTCTTGCAAGCAACAGCAGGAGAGAGAGGGAAAAACCCCACAAAGCATCTATTCCCAAGGTTTTCTGCCTCCTACGACCCCAGGGTTGTGGGAAGGCGGGAAAGGGAAGGATCCAGGCCGGCCTCGACCTCCCTCACCCACCCTTTCGACGACGGACGGCCGCGGCCCGGCCCGGCCCGGCTTTACTCTTCTTCGGCTTCATCCTCGCCGCCAGGCCCGGAGCCGCTGCCTAGCAACGGCCGCCGCCGCCGCGCGCTGCCTGCTGGGAAAATGGCGGGAGGGCCGCCGCCTCGAGCGGTCGCCGCTTCAACTACCTCCCCCAGAAGGCTTTGCGAGGGAACGTAGAGATACGAAACCTTGTGGGATATAGATGGACAGATTTACAAGAGTTGGAAAGGGACCTTGTAGGTCATCTAGTCCAACCTCCCCGCCCAAGCAGGAGACCTCCAGTCTCTTCTTGAAAGCTTCTTGTTGAAAGATAGATCAAAGATTTTCAACTTCGAGCAGAATCAGTCACAATTAGAATAGAGCTGGAAAGGGACCTTGGAGGTCTTCTAGTCCAACCCCCTGCTCAAGAAGGAGACCCTATAGCATTCAAAACAAGTGACTGTCCAGTCTCTTCTTAAAAGCCTCCAGTGATGGAGCACCCACAATTTCTGGTGGCAACTTCTGTTCCACTGGTTAATTGTCCTCACTGTTGGGAAGTTTCCCCTTAATTCCAGGTTGCTTAATTCAGGTTCCTACCTGGAGCAATTTAAGATGGATGGATTTGAAGTGTGGACTTGAACATGTGTGGTCTTGTGTGTAGACGTCATGTATGGCTGAGGAAGTGGAAGTCCATCCATCTTTTGAGAAATATCAATTTTTTCCTTTGCCCTTTCTTTACGGGGACGGGCATATCTACCACAAGACTGCCATTTTGCTGATGTCAGGGGAAAGAAAGTCGCCTCTGCTACCTGGTTGCCTTCTCTTATTAATTTCTATTCTATTCTATTCTATTCTATTCTATTCTATTCTATTCTATTCTAT